TTTGTTGATTTGTTGATGATAGCCATTCTGACAGGTGTGAGATGGTACCTCGTTGTTTTGATTTGCATCTCTTGAATGATTAGTGACTTTGAGCATGTTTTCATATGTCTCTTGGCCGTCTGTATGTCCTCTTGAAATGTGTCTATTTAGGTCCTTTGCCCATTTTTTGATTGGATTGTTATCTTCCTTTTGTTAAGTTATATGAGTTCCCTATAAATTTTGGAGATTAAACCCTTATCTGAAATATCATGGCAAATTTGTTCTCCCATGCAGTGGGCTTTCTTGTTGTTTAAATGAAATTTTTTTAAACCTGTATTGTTGAGAGTATTACAGTACCCCTCTTTTCCCCCCCATTACCCCTCCACTAGGTTCCCATACCGCCTAAGAGCTTCACACCTTATTGTCTGTGTCCATAGGTAATGCACATCTATTAAGATGCAGAGTGTTCCCTCGGGAGTTCAGCTGGGAGGCCACGAGTTCGATTGCTCGCTATGACGTGCACTCACCACCAGGGGGTGGCACAGAACAAAGGAAAGCTCCAGCTGGCAGCTGGGGAAGGGAGGCCCTGGCTGGCAGCCGGAAGGCCCCGATCGGCCCTGATCACCGGCCAGGCCTAGGGACTCTACCCATGCACAAATTTTGTGCACCAGACCCCCCCCCCCCCTCTCTCTCTCTACACACACACACACATATATTAGAGGCCCAATGCACGAAATTCGTGCAAGAGTAGGCCTTCCTTCCCCTGGCTGTCAGCACTGGCTTCCCTCTGGCACCCGGGACCTAGGCTTCCCTTTGGCCACTGGCAGGCACCCAGGACCTGGGCTTCCCTTGCAGCCCAGCTTCATCCAGAAGGTTATCTGGAAGGACATCTGAAAGGACATCTGGTCTAATTAGCATATTACGCTTTTATTATTATAGATAAAAGCCTAAGTGACCGTTACGACCGGTCACTATGGCACACACTGACCACCAGAGGACAGACGTTCAATGCAGGAGCTGTGCCCTGGTGGTCAGTGCGCTCCCACAGGGGGAGCACGACTCATTTGACAGACCCGACCCGGCACCCACCAGCCCGGCGGCAGCCACTCACTCCTTCAGTAGTCCTACAGGTCTAATCTCCGAAGAAGGGGCCAGCGCCACGGATCCCAGCAGCGCAGCGCTGCCCTCCTGGCGGTCGGCCTCGGGCACGACAGCCGCTTCCCCTCCTTAGATGCTCCGCAAGGAAGAAAGGATATAAAAGCAGCCACCAGGTGGCTCCCAACAACTGGTGCAAACGTCCGCGGGACAGATCCGATCCGGGTCGGCAAGCGCGTCCGGTCCCCCTCCCCACCTTGGGACCCCACCTGTGCATGAATTTGTGCACCAGGCCTCTATATGAATATCTTTGGTTAATCTCTTCCTGCCCCTCCTCCCGAGATTCGTCAGTCTGTTCCATGTTTCTGCCTCAGATTCTATTTTATTCATCAGTTTATTTTATTCATTAAATTCCTTCTTTGATTTTTATTTTTAGATTCAACTTTTGATAAATATGTATTTATTGCCATTTTATTGTTCATATTTTTTATCTTTTTTTCTTCTTTTTCTTTTTCTTTCTCCTCCTCCTCCTCCTCCTTACCTTCTTTCTCCTCCAATTTGGTGGTGATAAATTCCTTTAGCTTTTTCTTGTCTGTGAAGCTCTTTATCTGACTTTCAATTCTAAATGATTACTTTGCTGGGTAGAGTAATCTTGGTTGTAGTCCTGGCTTTTCATCACTGAATATTTCTTGCCACTCCCCCTGGCCTGCAAAGTTTCTGTTGAGAAATCAACTGACAGTCGTGTGAACACTCCCTTGTAGGTAACTGACTGCTTTTCTCTTGCTGCTTTTAAGATTCTCTCTTTGTCTTTTGCCCTTGGCATTTTAATTATGATGTGTCTTGGTGTGGTCCTCTTTGGGTTCCTCTTGTTTGGGACTCTCTGCGCTTCCTGGACTTGTAAGTCTGTTTCTTTCACCAGGTAGGGGAAGTTTTCTGTCACTATTTCTACAAATAGGTTTTCAATATCTTGCTCTCCTTCTGGCACCCCCATAACACGAGTGCTGGTAAGTTTGAAGTTGTCCCAGAGGCTCCTTAGGCTATCTTCATATTTTTTAGTTTCTTTTTGCTTTTCTGATTGGGTGTTTTTTGCTTCCTCGTATTCCAAATTGTTGATTTGATTATCAGACTCCTCTACTCTCTTGTTGAGTCCCTATAAATTATTCTGTATTTCAGTTAGTGTATGCTTAATTTCTAACTGGTCCTTTTGCATGTCTTTCACATTTTCACTAAGTTCCTTGAAACTCTCATTAAGATCCTTGAGCATCCTCATAACCATAAGTTTGAACTCTGTATCTAGTTGTTGTAGTTGAGCCTTGATTGCTATTGACATCACTGGGAGGAATTGACCTCCAGGCCAATTGGCTTTGCAGACCAGGCTGCAACTACAGTGGGAGAGCTGCTGTGCAGGAGACACCCTATGGAGCAGGACTTGCTTCAGTGGAGCTTTGGTGCTGAGTCTGCCCCTTGAGTGTGTCGCTTGTGGATGTGTAGAGTTGTAATCTGCTATGGTCTGAAACTGTCCGCCAGGTGTACTGGGTCTGGTGCCTCCCGGGTGGTACACAGTCAGCCACTGCCTGGGGCCACCCTGCAGGAGCTACAGAGCTATCTGCAGATGGCTGTTACTTGTATTGGGCTTGGAAATGCCAGGTGAGGGCAAGCTGTGAAGCAAGGTAGGCTGGTGCTAGGGCCTCTTATTGATAGTTATGGGTTATGCTGGCGCCAGCTGCTGCTTGTTTGAGAGATTTTAGGAAAGTCTTTTTTTTAAAATATATTTTATTGATTTTTTTTTACAGAGAGGAAGGGAGAGAGATAGAGAGTTAGAAACATTGATGAGAGAGAAACATCAATCAGCTGCCTCTGGCACACCCCCTACTGGGTATGTGCCCGCAACCAAGGTACATGCCCTTGACCAGAATCGAACCTGGGACCCTTCAGTCCGCAGGCCAACGCTCTATCCACTGAGCCAAACCGGTTAGGGCAGGAAAGTCTTGTTAGAAATAAGGCGAGCCCCCAAAACCAGGGGTCCTATCAGAACACAAGGGACATTTGGAAGCCAGACAGCAAGGCAGTCCCTTTCCTCCTGCAGGAGGTGCGTATGTACTGGGGCTGGGAGCATGCACAGGCTGAGCAGCGACCACTCGGGCTTTTATTGCTCATGCACCTGATCTGTCCCTCACTCTTGATGGGAGAGCTTAGGCTCCCAGTCTTGCATAGTTGGCTAATTTAAAGGAAAAAGGAAGGGGTTGACCTTTGCCATTTCAAAATGGCGGCCCCAGGGGAGCTGCAAGTCACGCGGGCCAGAATGGCGGCTGTCTACACTCCCTTCTATGACAGGGAAGATTATTGTTTATTCTCAGTCTGAAACCTGAGCCAGAACAGGCTTATTCACATGAAAAAGCTGCTGCAACAGCTTGGGTGGGGCTGCAAATTGGAGAGGACCGGGCATGAAATTTATTTAAATATGTTTAGGAATATGTGTTTCACACGATGAAGTTCTTTGGCATGTTGTCACAAACAGTGTCCTCTGCAGACAGCTGCAGGTGACGTGCAGAAATGTTCAGTTCACAACAGGCACTGCGCAAACACTGGACATGCAGTCCCCCGATCAGTTCCGAGGACGGCTCTGTGGGGTGTAGGTGCCGTCTCTCTTCATTTGCAAATAGCACGGTCGAGCATCAGGAGTCCTGATTAACTTGCCCACAACAACAGATGGTGTGGACCAAATCGTTGTGTGTGCAGACATGTGCAGGTGTGCTCAGTGTTTGTGAGCTCGTGGCTGTTCCTGGCAGAGCTGTACCAGGTCGTCCTTGGACAAGAGGAGGAAGGTTCCCGTACGCCAGCTCTGTCAGAGGAGTGCACACACAGGGGTCCTGGGCTTCCACTGGGCGCCCGGCAGGCGGGGCTGGGGCTTGTTAGCTGAGGAGACACTCAGTCTTCGTGGGGAAATATGTGCCCATTTGTTTTGCTTTTCCTTAGGGGCATCATTGAAGCGCGTTTTGTGTATGTGTTTGTCCTCGGCATTCTGTTCACGGGCATCAAAGACATGCTTAAGTCTCAAGTCCTCGCTGCAGGCATCCCAGTCAAGACTGTAGGTCTATGGGACGTGTACAGTGGACTGGTGCTCCTGACAGCCTTGCTCTTCAGACCACATAACCTTCCCGTCCTGGTGTGCAGCCTCTTGATCCAGACCGTGATGACCAAGTTCATCTGGAGGCCCCTGAGGCACGGGGCCGCTGAGGTCACCGTCATGCACTATTGGTTTGGTCAAGCGTTCTTCTATTTCCAGGTAGGTTTTCGTTATCTTTGTGGGTAGACCAGTAACTTTTTGTCATTTATCTTTTAGTTTTTCTTTGGGAAGTTTCGGTGTTAGTTCGGTGAAAGAGCTGTCAGTGTAGAGTGGTGGTGCTGCTCCTGCCGTGCGTGTGTCTGTAAGACATGATGCAGCAGTTGCGTGAGGCATGGCTGCTGCCGGACCATCTGCACAGCTTCCTCTGCGGAGGTGGTGACTGTGCTCTCGTGGCCATCCTGCTCGCCTGTCCCCTCAGTCATTCCTCCCCTAGAGCCCAGCGTCCACCCTCAGCCTCCAGCGAGGGCCCCTGGGCCGCGTGACCTCCGGGTTCCAGCCCTTGGACAGGGTCCCGGGGGGCAGGGTGTGTCACGTGTCTGTGTGAAGTAGATAGATCTGAGGAAAGGCAGGCCTTGCTGCAGCTCATCAGAGACTCCGTCTGTATGTCTCTCCACGAGCAGACCTGGCGCTTGCTCCTCGCCGTCTTTGGAAGTGTGTCCGGGGTCAGCCGGACAGGAGGGTGGGCGGGCGGCCGGGGCTCCTGGCTTCTCACGGTCACATGGCCATGTTGTGAGCGTGGCATGTCATTCCAGGGAAACTCCAACAACATCGCCACGGTGGACATCTCGGCGGGCTTCGTGGGCCTGAACACCTACGTGGAGGTCCCAGCCATGTTCCTGACGGCATTTGCGACGTATGCGGGGCCCGTGCTGTGGGCCAGCCACTTGGTGAACTTCCTGAGTTGGGAGCCCAACAGGTGCAGCTCCTCCTCTGTCCCTCAGCAGTCTGTCCACGCCCCTCGAGTGCGCAGCTCCCTTTGCCAGGGTGACGGGAGGGGTGACCCTGGAGTGTGACTGTGGAAGCCCCTGTTCCTGTGGCTGAGAAGGACCCACTCCCCAGGCGAGGGGCAGGGGGCAGCCAAGGCCCACCTATCGAAGCTTCTCCCAGTTCTCCTTCATGGTTGGTGCCGTGCTCCCTGGGGGTCCCCTTTCTGATGGTTGGATCCCTAGTGGGACCCGCGGCGTGTGTACAAGGACTTGCTGCAGGAGCTCAGGTCTGAGCCGCCACAGAGAGTGAACCAGAGCGCCAGTCAGGCCGCCTCACAGAGCAGGGCGTGGGGCAGCAGGGGTCACGGCCTGTCCCGGGGAGCGGGTGGGGGCCGCGTGTGCCTGAGGGCAGAGGGCGGCTGCGTGCGCTAACGCTCAGGACCTTGCGTTTCGGTCTGGGATCCGTTCTGAGTGGGTTCCTGTATGTGGTGTAAGTTGGTGGTCGAGCTTCATGTTGTGCACATGTCTGTCCAGGTTCCCAGCGCCCTTGATTGAGAGAGTGTCTACCCAGTGTGCACTCTTGTCACCACCTCTCCTAGACCATGTGGCCTGGGCTCACTTCTGGGCTCTGGTTAGCCCTTGTCATGGTGTAGGGTCTTGCTGGACTCGATTTGTTAGTATTTTGTTGAGGATTTTTGCATCTATGTCCATCAGGGATATCAGCCTATAATTTTCTTTTTAAGTGTCTCTGTCTGGTTTTGGAATGAGGATGATGCTGGCCACGTACAATGAGCTTGGGAGCCTTCCCTCCTCCTGAATTTTTGGAAGTAGTTTAAGAGGAATGCATGTGAATAATTCTTTCAGTGTTTGCTAAAATGTACCTGTGAAGTCATCCTGTCCAGGACTTTTGTTTGTTGGGAGTTTTTTGATTCCTGCTTTGATTTCATGAGTAGTTAGCAGTCTGTTCAGATTCTTCTTAACTCAGACTTGGAAGATCGTACGTTTCTAGGAGTTTATCCATTTCTTAGTTTGTTCAGTTTGTTAGTGAAAGTCTTGTGCGGTTTTCTTTTCATTGTCTGTAGGTTATAATATACATGATAGTATTGCAGTGTGTGCATATCGTTTTTAAATAGATACTTTTGCAAAACAGGGCGTGAAGTGGCGGACAGGAGGTGTCTGCCTGCAGCCTCATCTCCTCAGGCGCCTCTGCCCACCAGACTGACCAGGCCCAGGAGCAAGAACTGTGCACTAACCCCATTTCCCTTTGCCCGCAGCGGTCCGGCGCTGAGGCGCGCCTGCTTCTGCTACGCGCTGCTCAGCTCCGTGCCCGTGTCTGCCTACGTCGTCCTGGTGACGGCCCTGCGCTACCACCTGTTCATATGGAGCGTGTTTTCCCCGAAGCTCCTCTACGTGGGCATGCACCTGCTCGTCACCGCCGCCCTCTGCCTGGGCTTCACCGCCGTGGACCGGGCCGGCGCCAAGGCAGACGCTGGGAAAGTAGCGCATTGTTAAAGCCTACTGTTTACTTCGTGGGTTTGATTCATAAAAGTAGGTGTAAGTTTAAGCAAGATTATTCTAAAAAGAAGAGGTGAGTCCTACAGTGTGGGTGAGTAGCTCCAATTGCTTGGACGACTATGCTTGACGTTGAATTCAGTAGTAAGTGGCTAATAAAAGGTCACTTTAAAATACTTAGTTTGAATATGAATCCTATTCCCCTGTGGACAATCACTACAGAAACTGCTGGACTTGTAATTGCCTCTGGATGAGTCAGGCTGTGACCGCCCTGTGTGTTTACATGGTGCATACAGAGGTGCGAGGGTGTCCGTGTGCGACCTTCAGAGACTCGGCCCTCTCGACCCTAGGGCCCCGGACCTCGGCTTCATGGTCACAGCTGTCAGCACTGATGGCATTGAAAATTAAAACAGACATTTCAAACAATTTATTCATTTAAAAATAAAGATATAAACTTCAATATATTTTTAAGAAAAATAACTACTTTCCACACACAAAAATTAGCAAGGAGAGTGGCATTATCTTTTTTTTATATATATATTTTATTGATTTTTTTTTAGACAGAGAGGAAGGGAGAGGGATAGAGAGTTAGAAACATCGATCAGCTGCCTCCTGCACACCCCCCACTGGGGATGTGCCCGCGACCAAGGTACATGCCCTTGACTGGAACCGAACCTGGGACCCTTGAGTCCGCAGGCTGATGCTCTATCCACTGAGCCAAACCGGTCAGGGCAAGAGTGGCATTATCTTATATTTTTGCAAATCTCCTGAGTGTCTGGCTCAGGTGGGGCCGGTTGGGCTCTGCGCTCAGTCTGCTGTGCTGTGTGCAGGTGCGGGGCACACAGCCTGGTACCGGACAGGAGGGTGTGGGTCCGTTTGTGGTCATTGTGGGTGTGCTGTGTCGATGCTGCACTGAAACTTTGGAAGGTGCGCCGGAGGCAAGCAGTGAGAGGGGTCGACAAGTCCTGTAGCTTGAAATGCCTCGGGGGAAGCTGGGGTGTGGGACCAGGATCTCTGTACTGCTTTTGCAACTTCCTGTGAGACTTAAACTTCTTCAAAATAAAGTTATTTTGAAAAGGAAGCTTAGTTGGGCTGTGCAGTCTGAAACCACACGTGACCGGCTCTGGGCTGCGCTGGCCTGCACTGCGCGGTTGTGCCTGAGGGAACCCGCCCCGGGGGTGGCTCCATCACACTCTCATCTGGAAAATAACGTGCAGCGCGGTCCGTGACGCACAGCCACACACCACTCGCCCGGCGGAGCTCTGAGCGCGGGAGCAGAGGGGCAGGTGCTCGCGCTCCGGACTCTAACTTCGTGTGAAAACGCAGCGTTCATCAGCTCAGACTGAGTCGTCTTGGCAACGACAGTCCACTTGGTTCTCAAGGAAATGACGGCCACATCCCCAAACCCGAACGAACCCTCGGTGTCATTCTTCAGGCGAGAACGGGGCTTTCCTGGCGACGTGTGGTGCACCAGGTCCCGGCACAGCCGCAGGGGGTCCCACCCATCGTCACAGTCCTGCCTCCGGCGCCTGGAGGAGGCCCTCCTCCTCCAGTCACCACAGGACTCACCGTCCGGCCCCTGAACACTTCCGATTCCAAGAGCAGTGTCATCTAGAAGGAATGAGCGAGTTCTCTCAACCTCTACCACCTTGTCTCCTCTCTCTTCCCTCGATTCCTGGCCTCCCCAGGGTCTACCCCCTCTTTTTAAGAAATAATGACTTGGTATCATTGTAATTTTTTAATCATAAATACTCAAACAACAAAAACACCGCATTTTTAAAAATATTTTTTTATTGATTTCATTGAGGAAGGGAGAAGGAGAGATAGAAACATCAGTGATGAGAATCATTGATCGGCTGCCTCCTGCACTCCCCCTACTGGGGATCGCGCCTGCAACCCGGGCATGTGCCCTGACCGGAATCAAACTTGGGACCCTTCAGTCCACAAGCTGACACTCTATCCATTGAGCCAAACCAGCTGGGGTTTCAAAAACACCACATTTTTTTAAAGAAAAGTATTTTTTTTAAATATATTTTATTGATTTTTTTTTTTTTTACAGAGAGGAGGGGAGAGGGATAGAGAGTTAGAAACATCAATGAGAGAGAAACATTGATCAGCTGCCTCCTGCACACCCCCTACTGGGGATGTGCCCGCAACCAAGGTACATGCCCTTGACCGGAATCAAACTTGGGGCCCTTCAGTCCGTGGGCCAACGCTCTGTCCACTGAGCCAAACCGATGAGGGCAAGAAAGTATTTTTAACTATCACTGCCCAGAGCAGCAATCACGGACACTCAGGGAACTGTCTCGGGCATTCGTCCGGCAGGCTCCACTCTATTGCTATTTTTAATCCAGAGCATTTAATGCAATTTTTCTGAATTTAACAGAAAAAGAGAAAGTGCTGAACTTTGGATAACTGTTCCTTCTTACAAGAAGTATTAGTTCATAAAAGATTCCTAAAAATTTAAGAAAAAATATTTTTAAATGTTCATTTTAAAAATTAACTACTCTTTCCTATTTTATTCCATATCCCTGGACTCCTTGCTATGAAACATGACAGAATTATCACACACCCTTTCTTCTTCCCCCACTTACACATTCTTTTATAGGATTATTACCACAATTTATGACACATCGATTTTGTGCTGTAATCACACAACTGGTCAGTTCTAATTCTGTGGTAAGTGGCTCAGAGCTCACCCCCAGGCCTTTCCACGCTGCTGACTATTATTTTCTTTCCTCTATTTTTGAATCTTTTTCAAAGAGGATTCGTGGATGTGGACTTCTGAACTTTGCACCTGTCAGATCAAGGTCTAATTCTTGGAGTGTGGGGCGCGGCTGCAGTGTCTTGGCCAGGTCCAAGCCTCGGACTAACGAAAGGACAGGGTCCTCTCGTTGCCACGTGCGAGTCCCAGCTGGAGGGCAGGGCCCTCCCAGCACAATCATAGCCAACGGCTGTGGTTGTGAGCTTGAACCTATGGTCCGAACACGTGGCCCCACGTGCCTTGTGATAGAGTTCGGGTGCATGTAGTTGAGTGAGGTTGAAACCCACGAGAATACTGTAAACAACGTGATCACGCCCCTACTTTGCCTCGTGGCATCTGCTATAAAATAAAGACACAGCTTGTGGGCGCTGGCGTTGTCTCCTCATCAGGGAGCAGCGTCCCACCGAGACCCAGCTTTCATTCTCTTGTCTGTCTTTTCTCAATCCTTTCACCCCCCCACTCAGGATCACCCTTGGCTGTGCTGGCGGCACACTGGAGTACTTACTCCTACATCCTGCTCACAGTGCCAGTTGTCAGAGCAAGTCCTACTTGAACCCTGCTTGCCGTACTATTGTTGAAAGCACTCACTGCTCCGTCCTGCCAACTGGTCCAAGTAGGTCCTGATCCTGCCCTACTATGCCAGCTGTCAGGTCCAAGCCCCTCTGCCTGGGGCTGGACCTTCTGGGGCACCGGGTGGTAGAAAGCTATGTATGACAAGTCGTGAATATGTAAGAGTCTTTATTGTAGGAGCCAGTGGCCATGTAGCCATTGCTAACAAGGAGCCATTAGACCAGTGGTTCTCAACCTTCCTAATGCCACGACCCTTTAATACAGTTCCTTATGTTATGGTGACCCCCAATTTCATTGCTAGAAATTGAACATAATTAAAGCACAGTGATTAATCACAAAAACAATATGTAATTATATATGTGTTTTCCGATGGTCTTAAGCAACCCCTGTGAAAGGGTCGTTCGACCCCCAAAGGGGTCGCGACCCACAGGTTGAGAACCGCTGCATTAGACAAAGCCGTTCTCCAAAATAAAGTCCCTTACAGCAGGTAGCTGCACACCGGCCAGGTAACAATACGTCGTTCCCACAACGCAGCAACAGCTGTGTCCCCACAGCCATTATCTGAGCAGCCGGTCACGCTGCCTCTAGAGCACATCGGACATTTACATTACAATTCATCACAGTAGCAACATTACAGTTATGAAGTAGCAACGAAAATAATTTTATGGTTGGGTCACCACATGAGGAACTGTATTTAAAGGGCCAGAAGGTTGAGAACCACTGCTCTAGACCCACAGCCTCTCATCGCAGCTGCATCTAAGTTCACAGCCTCAGTAGCCTCGGTAACATACTTTAATACTATTTAGACAAAAGAGGCTTTCCGCCAAATAGTGGCAGCAGTCGTCTGGGTTATAGAAGGGCACGCCCGCCCAGTGCACCGTGAGATTGCTGTGCCTGCGCCTGTGTGGAGCATCTTGGCCTTGAACACTTTGATAAAGATTGCCACACTCTAATTGGCCCTGGCCACCCGGCGTGCTCTGTATGTTCCCACAGCATCCGTGAAGTGTCTGCTGTGGGATTCTGTGCAGCGGAGTCTGCATCACTGTGGTTGCTGGTGGTCTGGCTCATGTCCCTTCCTCCCTTACATCCAACTGAAAATGAAAAGTCTTTTAATAAACACTGCCTTTATAACTGTTCAAAGTGTGTGTATACATTTTGGGGGGATACCCGATAGTTTTTCTTTTCCCCGAATGTCACATATCTGGAATCGCACCATATGTAGTCTTTCATATTGGGTTCTTTCCCTTGGTAACATGCATTTAAGGTTCCTCCACGTCTTTTCATGGCTTGATAGCTCATTTCCTTTGAGTGCTGAATACTATTCCATTGTCTGGGTGGACACAGTGAAAGAATCTAGTGAGCAACATCTTGTTTGCTCCCAAGTTTTGGCAATTACGAATAAAGCTGCTATAAACACGTGACCAGCATCTCTCGGCAGGAATTCAGCCCCGCGTGCCACTCACAGAGCCCTGGACACCCTGTGCAGCTGCAGGCAGGTCCCTGGCGGTGACTGGGAGAGAGACCACAGAGCCGTGTCCGGAGGGAAGCCACAGGAAGAGAAGTTCTGGGTTAGTGGGCATGTCTGAATCAGGACAGCATGCTGTTCTCATCTCTGTCAAAAGTTAGGGATGGCTTGGGTACGGATTCCTAGAAACAAGCATGCAGTCACAGACCACCATATGCCTCACCTGTGAGCAATGTCCATGATCTTAATAAAGTAGAATACTGACTCTTTTTAATGCCAACACTTTTGGGGAAGGTGGGGAGAGAGGTTGTGTGTCAACTTGTGAGTGTAAGAAAACTACTCTTGAGGCTCACTCGGAAGAAACCAGTAATCCTGTCCAAAATGGAAATAACAGAATAGCAATGCAACCATTTTTCCAAAAAAAAAAAAAGGGGGGGATATTAGCAAAGGAAGTGGTGGAAATAGAGAGTCGGAGGGGGAAACAAAACCATCACTGACTTTTCAATCAGATGCAGTATTGGTTTGATTTACATCAAAATATGTATTAGTGTAACTTACACAGAAAACAAATGATCATAGTAATTAACGGGGAAAAGTCACTGACAGTGCTAAGAACAAAATCCAACTGATTCAATGTGGGGACTCGTGGGCTGTGAATGGTCCATGGACTGGGCTGCAGCTCACCCCACAGGCAGACACACCTCCAGGGACAGGACGGGCAGGTGCCGGACAGTCTTAGCAAGAGAAAAAGTCAGGTTCATTCCGCCAAGGAGGAGGTCAGGTGGCCACGGTTTCTCATTGGCTGAGCTGCAGCGTTTTCATTGGCTGGGCCTGTTGCTGGGCCGGAAAAAAAGCTGCACCTGGGGCCATTGACAAAGTGGGGCTTCCTCTCTCGGCCTTCCCCACTCCAGTTGCAATTTGAGGTTCCCTTTATTAATTTTCACATTAGAATTGAATGCCCACTTATGGAAACAACAACAAAAAATTATTAGCAAACTAGCCAAAGAAGGAAGCTTCCTTCGTGTGTTCAGAGGGGCAGCCCCCATGTCTGAAGACAAGATGAGGGCTGTCGTCCCCACCCCCAGTCCGGTCGTGTTGGAGGGCTCAGCAAGAACGTGCGCCCAGAACGCGGGCAGGAGATCAGGAAGCCAGACACAGAGCCATCACTGATCACCAATGACATCGGAAACAGACAAGCTACTAGGACCGTAAAGAAATGTTGGGTGTGTTGCTGGGCACAAGGTCACTATACCAGGTCAGCAATAGTCTTTAGACCAGCAACAGACACATAGGAAATGTAGTTTCTAAAAAGACAACATTTACAATGGCCACAAAAACGAAAATGCATCTTGGGAAAATCTAACAAAAGCCAAGCAAGGGGTTTACAGAGAAAAGTATTAAACTTTATTGAAAACATAAAAGAATACCTAAATAAGTGAAGAGAGAGATCTGCCCAGAGATGGAAGGACTCAAGTTTGTCAAGATGGCATTCTACCCCAATTAACGAGCAAACCCCCGAAGCCGGGCCAGTCTGCATCCTGTGCGGTTCTGCGCAGCTCACGGCAGTCTTACCAGAAACGCATATGGAAAGGGCCAAGGCCAACACTTGGGTGAAGTAAGATGTGGGATACGAGGATCAACAGATAAAAAACAAGAAAAATTGTGTAAATATAGAATATCATTATGTGAGATATGTTACAAACAGCTTAATATTAATAGGCTTCATAAAGCACTGAAATAGTTGGCTTACTGTGACAAAAGAGAAGGGGTGCTAGAGAAAGCTATCCACACAATAAAGGAAAACTGATAACGGAGATGGATAGATAAAGGGTAGATGATGGATGGTGGTTGATGGATAGATGACGGATGTGTATAGATACAGATAGGTGAACACACACACATACATATAACAAAAGATAAAAAATGAGATCTCACCTCACATTATAAACAAAGATAAATTCCCAGGTGGATAAAAGACCTAAATATGACAGCAAAACTGTAAGACTTTTACAAGAAAAGGAAACATAAAAGATTGGGGTAGGGAGGATTTCTTAAGCAAGAAAAGGGAAGACGAGCAATAAAAGATTAATGTGATTTACTTTTTGACAAAATACCACAAACAGATTTAAAAAACCCTGGGATAAGGTATTTGCAAACCCCAAAGGGGTGCCCAGACAGAATATGTGTCAGGGGCTCTGAGAAATCAGTAAGTAAACAACAAGCCATTGTTTTTTAAAGTCAGAGAACCGGGTGCACATGACACTGCTAACAGCACAAACCTCCCCCAGTAACTGGGAAGGCAGGTGGGAACAGTGAGGTACCATCGCACAGCAGCCAACAGGAGACAAGTGAGGGGTGCTGAGGGAGGTGGCCCCCTCAAATCAATCCCCAAACATCCCTAACTAGTTTGGCTCAGTGGATAGAGTGTCGTGTCGGCTCACGGACTGAAGGATCCCAGGTTCGATTCTGATCAAGGGCATATACCTTGGTTGCAGGCTCGATCCCCAGTAGGGGACGTACAGAAGGCAGCTTTCTCATTGAGGTTTATAACTATCCCTCACCCTTCCTCTGTAAAAATCAATAAAAATATATTTAAATAATAATAAATAACCCCCAAAACAAAACGTTGGTGCACCAGACGAGGTGTAGACGGCACCATCATGCGAAGCTGGGAAGCGTGCAGAGCACCTGTGAGGCCCATGGCAGACACGCCCGGGGTGATGGGGCCACAGCCCCTCCCTGGGCCCAGCCGGCGTGGCTCCTTGGACAGTGCGTCGGCCTGAGGACTGAGGGGTTGAAGGTTCAATTCCCATCAAGGGCACCTACCGTGGTTGCAGGCTCGATCCCCAACCCCTGGTCGGGGCGCATGTGGGAGGCAGCCAGTCGATGAGTCTCTTTCCCATCAACGTTTCTCTCTCTCTGTGTCTTTATACCTCCCTTCCACTCTCTCTAAAAACCGATGGGAAAATATCCTCGGGTGAGGATTAGCAACGACAGAAAAACCTCCCTGGAAACAACCCACAACCACTCTGAGGTGGTAGCCAAACTGCTCCCGTAACATTTTCTAGATTTAGAACTAAGATTTGACAGTCCGTTCGGTGCTTCTGTCTTTGGATCTATGGAGGTTTTGGGATGGGTATTAATAAGCTACCCAAATTCCTTTGATAGAGCTATTAGAAGGCAGGGGTGGGTGGGTAGGGAGAGATTAACCAAAGAATTATATGCATACATGAATAATCCATGGACATAGACAATGATGTGGTGAAGGCCTAAGGTGTGGGGCAGGTGCAGGGTAGAGGGGTCAATGGGAAAAAAAAAGGGGAAATATGTAATATTTTCAACAATAAAGATTTATTTAAATAAATAAATAAGAACTAAGAGAGAAATGTGGACCAAACATGGGCAATAACATTTTAAACTGTTAAAATTTAAAATGGCCCCGGCTGGTCTAGCTCAGTGGATAGATCGTCGGCCTGTGGACTGAAGGGTCTCGGGTTCGATTCCTAGGTTACAGGTTCGATCCCTGGCCCTGTTCCAGATGCATGCAGGAGTCAACCAATCAATGTGTCTCTCATCTGCTTTTTCCCTCTCTCTCTCTCTCTCTCTCTCTCTCTTTTTCCTTTCTCTCTCTCTCCTCCTCCTCCTCCTCCTCCTCTCTCCCTTCCATTCTCTCTAAAAATCAATGAAAAATGTCCTTGGGTGAGGATTAGCAGCAACAACAAAAAAGACCTCACAGGTGCACAGGCCAAGCCCAGGCCTGAGTGACGGGAGACAGGCAGGCAGGGTGGGCCCCTCCCATGCCCTGAGCAGGCCCAGGCAGGGGCACCCGGCCAGAGCAGCCTCTGTTCACCCACTGACCTGCTGGCCCTCCGGCCCCTAGCACACCCAGGCAGGTCTGGCCACAGCACAAGGTCTGCAGGGCCAGGAGGAGAGCCACGTGGACACGGTGGGGAGGCAGGCGTTGCTCTGGCTTGCACGGTGCTGGAGTCGGATCTCAGACTTCCTGCTGAGGACCAGGGCACATAAAGTGGCAAACTCGGGCTGTGAGCAGACTCCCACTCACCGCAGAGATTTTAAGAAAACCGTTGCAAACACAGCTCCCTGAAGGGCTGGCCCGCTGTCCTCTGCCAGCCAGGAGTCGCGAGGAGAATTCAGATTGGGGACAGGAGATGTGCACACTGTTTTCCTAAGTTAAACTTTCTTCCCTTTTGCTGGTGTTTTGTTCCTGTCAATCACTGCGCTCAAAAGTCGCAAATTAAGCAAAGACATCAGATCATCTGGAAGGTAAACCAGCTGACATGAGCTTTTGTCTCTGGCTGAGCTTAAAACGGCCCACAGGTCCATCGCGCTTGCACTCCGTTAACGCGCCAGGACTCACTTTCCTAAGGTCTCTGTCAGGTATGAATTTCTTTCCAGTCTTGGTGAAGAAACAGTGCTTTGGGGCAAGAAACACCTTGTGGGCACAGTCTGGTCCCGTCGGTAGCACAACCCAAAGGTGACCCAACGCTCGGCCCCCACAACACAGACCCACCCAGGGGCCCCCGGACTCGGCCTGGCCCCCACCACTGTCCCAGACCCTAGTGCAGCTCCAGTGCGATCGGCTGTGCCGGTCTGTGCAGACATTCGGGTGCGTGGGCACCCACGGGCCAGCCCCACCTTCCTGGGACC